TTTACGCCCATACAATCGCTTTTACTGACTTAATAGCACAAACGTACTTTTTTGGCAACATTTGAACTGAACGTCGCCAAGATACACCCACAAAGATTTCTTGATAACAACGACTCAACCAACATTTGCGGTTTCATAATGCACTCGTGCATATATTTACTTATAAGTCTGGCTACACATGTTTGCACATTTGTTTATATGTATATGTGCGTGATACTATAAATGTGTTTGCATGTATATATTTGGATATTTGTTTCTATTATTTTGTACTCGTCAAAGCCGCATTGGCAATGGCAATGACTGAGCCAATTTCTGCTTTAGCCTTTCACTTGGTTTCATAGTTAGCGCATTTTTTTTAAATAAATAATACACTTGGCAGCATGACAAATCTATGATAATTAACCTTCAAAAAATGTCTTTTGCATTTTGACTTCAAGATCAATTGCTTGTACTGATGTATGTTAAACATCTCAACTTCAAATACGATATGTATAAAATCATGGTCATATTTTAAATATGCATCCTTTTAATAAAAATTATTTTACTACCAAATATATAGCTAATTAAGGAAAGAAACAAGAAAAAATTGCTGAGGTTACAAAAAAGCTACAATATCTTTCACAAATAAAAAAATTCCTTACAAGAGCTTGATTCCGTATGCTATGGTTACCCGATTCGTTCCTAGAAAAAGAAAAAGTTTTCCATACAAACCTTCATTTTGATCGATTAGTAAGACAACTATTGATATAGTATTTTCAATATTTTATTTACATTTATGATTGAGTATATGTTAAGGGTCCTTCTTCTGAGAGTTACAAAGTTCTTGGCAAATTTAATATACTCTGCTCAGGGTTTTAAAATATAGCAAAAGGAGTAAAAAGTTACACATATTATTACTTGATGAACTTCCATCAATTGAACCTCGTTCAAGCGGAGCCAATAATTCCTTCATGGAGCTCAAACCGCCATCTATAGCAGAAGAAGCGCTAGTTATGCTTGATCGCATATTTATTCAGACTAGACCACAAGATATCCAATACATCCATTTATAAGTCCAGTCGAAAATTCTCATATCAAATTTAATCAATTTTTGAATCCAGTGGAAAATTTTTTTTCACATTATGTTCCGATCCCAACGAAATCGCTGGTTTCCTGTACCTCTAACGGAGATTACTTCATTGAAAATTTACTTATCTTTCGCCAAAGCATAGCATAATTTAATTTGCATACAAATTCCTTACTTACTATATTTGAACACTCATAGCCAAGAGTTATCACATTGGGTAGTTGAAAAAGTCTTTTCGTATTTCTAATCAAACTTCAACTATTTTTTTTAATAATTTTATTGAAAAATAAATAAACAATATGTACCTTTTTGGTCGATCACTTTTTGCCAATTTTCCGCTTGAAACATTATTCCATTAGTGTAAATCAAAAGTTCGAAATTTCCGCAACGGAAGCGAGGGAACTACTGTTGTGTTGTACGAACTGACACAGCATCGTCTCCGTAAACTTCACAAATTTCATTGCTGGCTTGCGTGGCATTCTTCTCTTTTTTATACAAAAATTTCAAAATATAGTGAATGTCTGCATTATTTTCACTCATTTTTGAACAGTTGTAACTGTAAATCACATTTATAATACGATTCACATTTTACTTCTAAATAAGCCCCAGTTTCGGCATTTACTTCTTCATGTTAAATGGGGTCCTTTCCAAGCGAAAAGAAAATAATCGAAGGAAATTGCATACAAAAATATAATATAAATGTCATAAAATCGCTTATTGATGAGCCTTTCCACGCTTAAAGTTCAAGTGATCTCATAAGTACAAATTAAAATTAGAGAATAATACTGTAAGTTATCAATTACTTATATTAGTGTTTCCAATTTTAAAAATAAAGTTCTGAACTGTCTTTGCTCACGAGTTATTTGAATTATTAAAACTGCAAATAAATTTCCATTAAGTCACTCATACCACATGGCGCCCCCGAAATACATACCGCAAATATATTCAATTCCTTACAGCGCTGTGTCGAAAACAGACTTTTGTTGCACTTCGAGAAAGTCATGTGTTACGCTTCTTTAGCAAACCGTGAACGCTCTTGCTGCAACTGACAATTATTGCCACAACGACATTGTACTCAAGGTCAATGCCAGCTAACCAGTGAACAGTAAAGCGATTTACAGTTGCATTCGCCAAAATAACACAAATACATATATATATCTGTAACAATAATAGTGACAAAAGTGGTATGAATGGCTTTAAAAGGCATTAAAGGCACAGCAAATAACCTCAAAGTGCAATGCAGATTTACGTGGACTTACTAAACTAAATGCACCCGCGCGTATGTATACATGGCTGTATATACATATGTGTGTGCTACATTTTATTACTTAACAATAACCCTTGCCTTTGTTTCAATATTACATTTTTGTTGTACTTTTATTTTACGAATTTCCAGTGTTTTCTCGCCTTTTGTCTAAATTTGTGCGCAACTTTGTGCTTTTCGCAACAATTTCATTTCTTAAAATTCCCATTCAAAACCACTACAAATACGAATCTACATGCTAACATTCACACATATGTATATACATACAATTTTCTAAGCCGCTAACAACAATAGCTGGATCTAAGCGTTGCATGCAATTCAACCAAGCTCTTTTGCCATTTCCGGCACTTATAGCAAACAGCTTTACTGCAACTAAGCCACCCGAGGACCTTCACTCATTCCTAAATTTCTTAGTGCCGCCAACACAACGTCGTCATCAGCAGCAGTTCCATTGTTGCTGCAGCACCTTTTCTATAAGCATTTCTAACAAGTTGCGACACACCCACTTGTTTATAAGCATTTAGCAAATAACTGTTTGCATACGAAGTCTGCAATATATGTATGTATGTATTTAAAACGAATTAGAAAGAAAATAATAGTGTTGATATTATCATATGTACCAATTTTAGGGTACCACCGATTTGCTGATTGATGTTATTAGGGAACGCATTTGGTTCTTAGGGTTGATCTTTGTCTCGCTATAATTTTAAACCAATATCCATCAAATAATAATTTCCATTTACATTCGTAAAGACATATGTATGAAGCGTGACTACTTTTTTAAACAAAAAACACAAAAACATCAAATTTGATGCGATTTCTTTATTATCATTCGAAAGAATATTCTTTGGGATCTAATTTTTGAAGATTATTACTTTCAAATGTTGTCCGTGGCTACGTCTCAAATGGTCCATCCGTTGAGTCCAATGTTCGATGACTCGTTCGAGCATTTCGATCGGTAACTGGCGAGTGAAACGCGTGATGTATTGCTTCAAGGCCTGAATCGAAGCGGTATTGTCCGCATAGACTTTAGACTTTACATATCCATACAGAAAAAAGTCTAACAGTGTGATATCATACGATCTTTGTGGCTAATCGACCGGCCCAAAACGTGAAATTATCTACTGACCGAAGGGTTCTCTCAATAAATGAAAGAAGAAATATGAACTGCTGATTCCACTGGCTCACAAACTATACAAAATCGTTATTTCTTCTAAATGAAATTGCAGCTCCTGAATCTCCTCAAGTTGCTCTTTGTCCCAAATACGGTAATTTTCCTAGTCCCTCATTGCTGAACAAAAATGACTCGAAAACGTCGGATCTTCTTGGAACTTTTCAAATGCCCATATCCAAGTCGGTCCAACTGCGTCAAATCAACTCACCACAGACTTCGTGTACACTCTCAGCTACGGCTGCTATATTTTCTTCACTGCATGCTGGACATGGTTTATTCGCTTTCAAGGTGAATAGAAAGAAAGAAAGCAAACGTAATCCATCTGTTTTTTGACATTTGTCCAATATTTAACTCTGCAATTCAAAATAAATTCGCTACAACCCTTGTACGTGTATCTACTTATATGACATACTTGTACATATATAGACATAGTGGCCATATGCAAGAATATTTCTAAACCCCTCTTTCTTTGATTTTATAAGGCACTATTTAAATAGTGTTTCTTCCATACTTCATTCTGCTTTCATATTTCTGCTGTTTTTTCCAGACACCAAAGAAACTCAAATACTCTCGCCTGCATACTCGTATATGAGACAGCAATTTGTATATACTATTATTATGTGTTTATGTATTTCTATACATACACATAGTATATGCATTGTGTGAACTACTTTTTGTGTTGTCATACTATAGTTTTGTCATTATATTTAGTTCCTGTTGTTGCAATTGTATCCATTGCAGCTAAGCTGGTCTCATAGTATTCAGAAAACAACGGCGCTCTTGTTCTGACGTTGAGTGAGTGCTCAGTTTCATAATGATTTAATGACTAAAAGATGAGGAAAATCTTGTGCAGAAAAGTGTTTTTAATAGCCACAAATATGCGTGCTTGTCAACGCGTAATTTAAGCAACTAGAAACTACAAGTTTTGCGTATTGTTCTATAAGCGCTAAAGTTGGGATTAAACGAAGAAATTAAGGATTTTATTTAAAGAATATGAACTTGAACATGATATCGGAATTTTTAGTGTAGTAGCAGTTATAGAAATACAATAGTAATATAGTGAAGAATTTTATGTATGTTTTTATCATCACCGATTTGTAGAGATATCAAAGTGAAAATGCGCTCATATAGTATATTTCTCCAAAAGAAGCTACTCATTTGTGGGAACCTACGACATCCGAGTAATATAGCATATATGTAGCTAACATACAAACTGATCCATCAAAATCAAATCCAGTGCTTTTAAACATTCTTTATTTGATATCTTCACAAAATTTGACACGGATTATTGTGTTAAATTTAAGTATAAGGCAACTGTATAACCTCCGAGCAAATTGTTATGATCAGATCCAATATGCCTTATATATATGAAGTTGACATATTGTCTTGTTTAATTGCAAATATTTCATAGATAATTACATATTTCTTTAATTACCTGTATTAAGTGTTCTTCAATTAATTCTAATCAATTTCATCTTGTTTAATTTCATTTGCAGGAAATGGGTTAATCAACGAGGCCGAATTCCTGCAATGGGTGGGACGCATTCAGGCGTTACGTGATGAACAGCAGCAGCAACAACAACAGCAAGAAGAGAATGCAAGCAAACCAGAGGAGAACGATGATGTCACCGAAGATTTAATCGCCGCATTTAGGTGAGTCAAGTGAATATAAATGTACTATGTACTTATGGTATATATATAATATGTACGTGTACATAAATGCAACAAACTTTGTTATCTCTCTTTTATATCGATTCTTAGAATCTCGCCCGAGCTTAGTATTAATTAAAGGCGGGCCAATAATAAATAAGAACTATGGGTTTGTGTACTAGCAGGTGTATGGCTTCTGCTATAAGTGGCGATGTTAAAGCGCTGAATATTCCTACATAAACTTTAACGTACAGTTAAACAGAACAAAATATATAGATATCGTATTCTATATACAATATGTATATGCCATATATATGTATGTATATACACAAACGTCCATTAAACTACTTTAGTTTGAATTTACTATGGTTGGTCTTTATACCTAGAGTCACCATAAATGCTCGGCACTAAACCGCAAATGTTTTCTGACTGACGTCATTTCTCTCCCTTGCTGTCACCAGCAGACATTTTTCAGGTTTGCAACCGCTATGCAAGTCCGGGCAAAAGAACCGGCTTAAAACACACCATTAGTAAGCCAGTGTAATGTATTGTAGACAGAGATATTTTTCGGTTTCTTTTGTTTAGCTATGGTTTGGCAGTAAATTTCTGCTTCCGGTAGCCTGTCACGTTTGTGTACGTGAAGTAAAACCTTAATTAATATTTCGAACTGTGAATTATGGAATTTTTACTACATAACATATATATACATGCAAATACCTAGCATTTAAATAAATTTAAAGTGAAGGAGTTGAAGTATATTTTGAAGCTTTTAAGCTACAACTCAGAAAAAAACTAAAAAGGCGCAAGAATTTAATTAATCAAATTTAAAATATTTAAAAAACAGGTACGAATTTATCTTATACTATCTTAGGAAATAACGAGAGCTATAAAGGCAAGAGTTTCCACTTCATTTATGAAAACAATGAATAAAAAAGGAAATCAGGTAATGATCACCCCCACCTTCCATAAAGTACTGCGTCGAATACTATCAGTGCTGAAGTGTTTTCATCCATTCGGACGACATAACCTAGCCAGCGTAGCCGCTGTCTCTTAATTGGTTGAACTATGTCAATTTCTCTTTAAGGATTGGGATGACCCACTTTGGAATGTAATATCATATTTTAAAAACCACTCGACTAATTTAAATTGATAAGCATGGTTTGGAACACATTGAGACGAAGTAAATCCTATAAGTTTCTTAATTATCTACAAGAGCACAGCGGTTCAAAATAATGTCTCGCTCAGCGGCCTAAACAATGCAAGTCTTAATTGTTGCCAATTGGTCTCGAACCAATCCCATCTTAACGCTCTGTCACAATGGGACATCACATTGAAGTAACAAGATAACAAGAGGTCAGTTCTGCCTGAATTTGGATTTACTTCTCCCCGTGGTAGCAGAATTTAGTCTCCGGTCAGACCTTGTAGCCGAAACTACTTCCAGTTGAGCACCCACTCAACTCATGACATTTGGCAGGGAATATTACAGCATTATTAACTATAAGGCACAGGATATGAAAGCTTAAGGCCTTCTGTGGATTAAAATAAAAAATGTTATCTTCATGCAATCGGATATTCCTCGGTAGGCGGATCTATGTTAAGTAAAAAGAATGGGCCCCGTCATGATCTGTTAACTCAACCACTATAACAGCAACTGTAAAGAGAATGTAGCCATATTTTCCCCTGTTTATAATCCGAATGTTGCAAGTTTCCGTCAGTATTTTTAATTTTATTCAACTGTCTTTCAACAGCCTCTATGACATAGAGTTGCTAAAACCCTTAGATACAGTTCAGATATATTATGAATTCAGAAATATATTATGTGAGCTAAAAGATCGATTGTTATATAGAGATTCCAAGCCAGATACTCTTATCAGTACACACAGCTTTAACTTACATAAAAATTTAACTTGATTTTATTTATTTTTTCACAGAGTATTTGATCGTGACGGCAATGGCTTCATTACCCGCGACGAGCTGCAAACCGCCATGGAAATGATTGGAGAACCCCTCTCTGAAACGCAACTCACACAATTATTGGCCATAGCCGATTTGGATCAAGACGGCCGAATTAATTACGAAGGTAGGCCAATTAAGCGCACTTTTTCACACAAACACGCAAAAAATGCACGTGCAAATACACGTGTATAAATATGTGTGTGAAATGCAATATTTTGCAAAAAAAAGTTGCATGCAGTAATTTTACAGTGCATTAACCTAAACACGACAAAGGTCGACTATGACGCACATCGCTACAACACGAAGACACTGAAACAAACGTGCACATATGCATAAAATAACAATTCTATAGATATATATGCGTTTTTGTATATATTTGCATATATGTATGTAAATATAATATGTGTTTATTGAATAAACTCTTAAGATTTTAATCTGAAAAGTTGTAACAACGTTTTCGTGTTATTATTCAAGGCTATGCCACCCTTGCAATGTTAGGGCTTAGCATAAATATTCACATACATAAATGCATATTTATTTATATAAATAAGTAAAAATACTGGAAGCAGATGAATATGATGCCCAAAAAAAATAAAAGAAGCAAAACTCGTTATAAAAATTTGTCGTTGAAATAAAAAAATATAAAATAGAATTAAATCTTAAATTAATCTGGATATGGATATAAAACATTATTTGAAGTATCAATTATGTGGCATGTTTTATTTTAAAATGTATACCCACTTGCAAGTCTGAAAAACTGCTTTTCTTCATAATTTTTTTAAGAGGTATTTTATTAAATAAACAAATAAGGAAGTACATAGTTCGGGTGTAACCAAACATTTTATACTCTTTCAAATTGCAACGATCAAAGCCGGGAAAACTATTTTCAATCTTCCATAACATAACTGGCAGGTTGACCAATATTTTCGGTTAAAAGTTCGTAACAGAAATTGGGGTCCATATATTCGGTATATGGGGACTTGAATAGCTTTGGTCCGACATGGAGCATTTTTGGTCAGAAGATGATCTCCAAAGCACTCTTCGTGTAATTCTTTATCCAATCAATGTAATTGGCTTTTGATTTGTATACTGAATAATGAAAAAATAAGATGGAATTTAAAATTGTGTTAGTTATATGTGAAGTAGACATGGTTTTTGCCTGATATGATCATTCGATAGCAAAAAATTCGTTTTTTTAAATTCACGAGTGGATATAACTCCTTAAACTCCATCAAATTGTAAGTTTTTATGAAAATTGGCGAATTATTTCTCAGCATATTCTCCTTTTGACTAAATACACTGAAGCTAGCCGTGTTCCAGCTATTTTTAACCCTCTAAAGGTCTATGAAGTAACCCTCCCTGGCGTCGATGAGATCCTCATTTGACTCAAATTTCTGTCTGTGAAGCGACTTTTTCAACTTTAAGTAAAAAAGCAGTCACTCTTCGAAAAGTCTGGATAATACATTGAGCAGAAGTTCGTAGTCTAATTCGACTAATTTGGACAAGGCAACGGCAGAGGTATGAACTATAAAGTCTTCGACTCTGGTCTATACTAGTGGTTCCATGTGTCACAGATAGTCGGCGATTCTAACTTCGGATGAAGTGGTCTCACATTTTAACTTGTTGTCTGGAAAGAACAAACATGACACCCTGCCTTGTATACTATTTTCAATCCCAATATCTCGTTAAGGTGAGACCTTTTGACCCACGCGCGGTTTTTTGGGGTGCCTACTCTTATAATAAAGCATTTGTACCTGAATGTGACTTAATAAAAACATATAGTTTACATAGATATACATACTATATATCGTTTTCTACAATAAAAAACTGTTTTAAAATAAAAGTTCGTTCCATTAAAAAGTAATGGCAGCATCTCCATATGAACTTTCACTTTTCCACACTCATTTCGCGATCCTCTCTTTTCTATTTATAAGATTTTTGCATATGCCACAGCGATACAATTTGTGCTAATTATTATTGCACAAATTATGAAGTTAACGAACCGACCGCCGTTTTTGGTAAATATGTACAAACACAACAGTGCACAGACGGCACTGACACTTCCTTTCTAAAAATAAGAGCCTTCTGCAAGCAGACGCTTACGTACATATGACGGTAATGTGTTGATGAGAATTTTTAAAACAAACAGCGGCACAAGCAGACATATTTACACATCTACACAAATCAGCATAATACTAGTGATTTGAAGTAAAACAATTTAACACCGCTTTTTGATGAACGGTTGAATGACATGTGACCTTTGCTTTGAGTGTTGCATGCTGTCAAACGTTCCCGGCTGGCTCTAGAGAGGTTACTAACCCGAAATACATGCTCATGTAAACATTCCTACGCTCAGGCAGGCTCTTTCATTTGCATAACACTCTGTTGGGGCGTAATGAAAAGCTCTATTTGACTTGCACATTTTCTTAGCTCTTTTTATTGACTTTAAAATTCGCTTCTAGTTCACTCCTTTTTAACTCATTTGCCATGTCTGTAATATGAAGAAACTGAGTTTAATCGCACGACTTTAACAATTCTTTTTTCTGGTATTTTCAAGTATGTTTAATCGGACATACTATATATATCCTAATGAGATAACTTTTCCAACCTTTGATATAAGACTTGTATTTCTGAAATTACGTACATTTATTTATTTGCTTTTTTCATTAACGGTTTCATTAAATCTTAACACGTTTTCTAATTTGTCAATGTGATTACGATCATTCAGTTTGTACCAGAGGTATATGCTATAGTGGTCCGATATATGCGGTTCCGACCAATGATCAGCTTCATAGGGAAAAAAGAACGCGGGCAAAATTTGTAGTCGATATTTGATAAACTATAGCAATAGTTCTCTTATATACAAACTGACGGATAAGCACACAGACATAAATCGATTCAGCTCGTTCCACCGATCATTTATTTTGTAGAGTAAACTTAATATGAACAGGATTCAGGATATAATAATCCAAATATTGTTTTCGCTATTGCTTTTTCCATCCGTTAAGGTTGAGTAGACTTCTTAGTTAGGAAACAACAGGCCAATTTTAAACAAATTGGGTATATAACTTTTCTTTGAAAACGTCTATAGTTTAAATACCGTTACTGGGTATTTGATCTCACTTTTAAATCCTTCTATCAAAAATTGTTCACGTTGAATGCGATGCAAAAAAAGCTTCGGCTGTGGCAGTAATTTTGGCCATCTCAATGGACGAAACATAAAAAAACTTCTCTTGAAGAACCAAAGCCGCTCGACCTTCCCAAGTGACATCGCATCGCTCTATGGTCTCATGAAAAGATCCAAGAAGATCCGACGATTTCGAGGCAAGTTTTTTTCAGCGATGAGGCCCGTTTCTGACAATGGGTATGTAAACAAGCAAACTTGCCTTATTTGGGTAACTTACAGAGATTCAAGAGCTGCCATTTTATCCACAAAAAGAAGGGTTTCGATCTCGGCGACATTTAGTTCCAACAAGACGGCGCCACCTCCCATACAACCTGTGGGGATATGTAGAGCAAAACATCACGCGTGTCAATCGCCAGTTACCGTTCGAAATGCTACAACGAGCCATCGAACATTGGACTAAACGGATGGACGCATTTGAAAGAGATAATCTTCAAAAAATAAATTGGATAACTCTTTATAATTTTTATACTCTCCCAACAAAGTTGCTAAAGAGAGTATTATAGTTTTGTTCACATAACGGTTGTTTGTAAGTCCTAAAATTAAAAGAGTCAGATATAGGGTTATATATACCAAAGTGATCAGGGTGACGACTAGAGTTGAAATCCGGATGTCTGTTTGTCCGTCCGTCCGTCTGTCCGTCCGTCCGTGCAAGCTGTAACTTAAGTAAAAATTGAGATATCATGATGAAACTTGGTGAACGTATTTCTTGGCTCCATAAGAAGGTTAAGTTCGAAGATGGGCAAAATTGGCCCACTGCCACGCCCACAAAATGGCGGAAACCGAAAACCTATAAAGTGTCATAACTAAGCCATAAATAAAGATTAAAATGAAATTTGGCACAAAGGATCGCATTAGGGAGGGGCATATTTGGACGTAATTTTTTTGGAAAAGTGGACCCGCCCCTACTAACTTTTTTGTACATATCTCGAAAACTACTATAGCTATGTCAACCAAACTGTATATAGTAATTTCTTTTAGGCACATCCATACACTGTTCAAAAAATCAGTAAAAGTGCGTTAACCGACTAACAAAAAACGTCAGAAACACTAAATTTTAAGGAAGAAATGTCAGAAGGAAGCTGCATCCAGGGTTTTTTAAAAATTTAAAATGGGCGTGGCGACGCCCACTTATGGACCAAAAACCATATCTCAGGAAGTACTCGACCGATTTCAATGAAATTCGGTATATAATATTTCCTTAACACCCTGATGACATGTACACGCCTGAAATCTCGATTATCACTTTATCATGCGAGAGTATAAAATGTTCGGTGACACCCGAACTTAGCCCTTCCTTACTTGTTATTATATAGTATACTCGTATGTACATATATTGATAAATTTCTAAATATGTTTTATTATTCTCTTTCCTTGCAGAATTTACGAGACTTTTACTTTAAAGTGATGAACATCCATAAAACTAAGCATAATTACAAATATTAGCGAAGCAACAACAAACAAACTACAATGTCAACAACAAATATATGCAAAAGTTTATATACACACATACATATATATTTACAACAGTGCAGCATACTCAAGTTACATAAGTACTAAAGAAATTATCGAAATCTTCTTGACAAAAACAAAAAGTAAATAAATAACAAAATTTTGTAAGTTTGTCGGCGTTTATCTGCTGGACCAGAAGCAAGCTAAGCAGCAGCAGGAGGGTGGTGCAACAACAAGCACGCATATATGCATACATATGTATGTGTATGTGTGGCTGTTGAAAGGGGACCACGAAAGTCACAAAAGATTAACATTTTAGTTTATAGGTTGTTAATTTAAAGCATTAAATTTATTTATGTATAGTTTCACACATACAAAAAAAAAAACAAAAACACCAACACACAAACAATGATAAACACATATACCTATAGTTAGTTTAAGTTAATTTTTAATTGTAATAAAAAACAGTACAGTAATGTGAAAGTGAATAGCAGCGTTTTGTAAAGAAATTTAGATTTTCACATTTTGTTATAAAATTATAAATACGAAATTTAATTAAATTATACATAACAATTTAAAAAGTAATGAAATTATTCAATTATAAAGTCTAAATTAATTGCATGGAATTTTACAGATTCGTAAGAAATATAGAAAAACAAAATAATTCGTATAAGTCTGAGCGCGAGAGTGATAAATTTTTGTGTTAAGGATGCTGCAAAATAAATGATTTAAAATTCAGCTATGTGAAAGATAAAAAATGTGTATTTTGAAAACAAAAACAAAAAACTGTTCAGATCATTATTTATGTACCGATGCAAGCTAAAATAAATAAGAAATATATATGCAACAAAATGTAATGCAATTTGCAACAAAATTAATTAATATTTACAAGAAAAACTAAAAAACTTAAATTTTCCATATTGTCTTACCACGAAAACAAAACACCTGAATTAAATTTTAAAACTCTTACCATTCTTAATTATCCATTTTCTAAAGCTCTATAACTCACATTTGTGTGTGTATGTATAAACATACATATGTGTACATACAGACAAGTTATATGTATACATACGTATTCGTATGTTATCTAATATGTGCATTATTACTTAGCTTTGTTCGAAACAAACTTAATTATATGCATACAAATAAATATACAAGCATAAACATACTTAATCCATACATGCAAACATACAAATATGTTATGGAAATGGCATAGAAATTAAAAAAATAAAAATAAAAATATTTTGTAAAGTTATTTGAATAAATAAAAAGATAAATAAAATTAATTGTTGATTATAAACCAACAGACAAATTTATTTATTAGAGTGTTTTTCTTATGTCATACCATACTCGAACAAAACTACAAAGAGAACAAGTCATTTAAGTCTTAATTTGCCGATAGGTACTTAGCCTATAAAAGCCATGGAAATATTTATTCGAAAAAATAGATTTTCAACTAGGGTAGCAAATCGAAAACTGATTTGACCAATTTGGCTGTAGGACTGCGAATATTTGAGCCGATGTTGTCATGACAGAAGGATATTTTTGTTTCAAAACTCGTTTGTCAAATGGCAGAGTTTTTGCTGCAATTCGGCATCGATGCGGCCCAATAATTCAACTTAGTAGAGCCATGTGACAGTTAATTCATTGTAGATCACACCTTATGAGTCCCCAGAAAACTGTGCCCATCACATTTCCAGTCAATAAGACAGTTTTCGACAGACATACTCAACTGTTTCGACTGTTCTTTGGACTCTAGTGTACCAAAGTGGATCCCTTTTTCGTTGACGATCACAACACGACTTAAAAACTCTCTTCTTCTTTATTAGCGTAGCCGAGTTTACAAAAAACGCACCAGTCGTTATTTCTTTTCGCTCTTTGTGTCCAATTGGAGATTCCAAGTGTAGCCTGGTGTTTCCAACGTATTGGAGGTCTTTGTCTGCTTTCCCCGACGGGTATAAATAATCTCAGGGGTGAAGTGTTCTCATTCGTTCGGATCGGATGACCTACCCAGCGTACCAGGTATTTGCCCTTGCCAATGCGCAAAGGAGCATAAATTCTCATCAGTTGTTGTCATCGTTCATGGGGACGGGGATGATAAATGCTTTGCAGAGTTTAGTCTTAGTTCGTCGAGAGATGACTTTACTTCTCTATTGCTTGGTGTTAATGCTGGTATACTCTTATAGGAGATTGTACCTTCTCTATTCAGCTTTGCAGCTTGAATTATTTTTTCCAGATGTAGATTAAAGAAGTCGCGCGATAGGCAGTCGCCTTTTCTGAAACCTCGTTTGGTATGGAAGGGCTCGGAGAAATCCTTCCCGATCCTGACGGAGCTTTTAATATTGTTCAACATCTGCTTACACGGCCGTATTAGTTTTTATTGGATTTCTAATTCAGACGTTGCGACATAAAGTGAACTCCTTTTCGTACTGTCATAATCAGCTTTGAAATCGACGAAGAGGTGGAATGTGTCGATCCTCTTTTCACGAGACCTTTATAAGACTTGGCTTATGGTGAATATTTGGTCAGTTGTTGATTTTTCAGGCCTTAAGCCATACTGATAAGGTCCAATCAGTTTGTTGACGATGTTGAACAGGCTTATCCAACGGTAGTTGTGGCAGATTATGGATTGGGCAGAGCACGCTTAAATTCCAATTGTTGGGCATGTTATCGTGCAACCATATTCTCCAAAGGATCTAATGCATGCTCCTTATCAGGTCCCCTCCACTGTGTTTAAATAGCTCGGCTGGTAATCTACCGGCCTCCGTCGCTTTGTTATTCTTACGACGGGTAATTGCTATTTGTACTTCTTCACTTTTTATAGGATAAAAAGATCTTTATCTTGATTTTGATCACGAAGGTGTCTTATCAAATAAAAATGTTTTTCATGAAGGGACTTGAGTTCAACGAGCGCCGTCCTGGAAAAAAAGAACGTCAGCAATATTTCAGATTGATATCTAAAAACTGAGCAACTACTTCGCGTATATAAAAGCGAACAGGTGAACAGGCCGAAGGACATGGCTAAAGCGACTCATCTCAGTCGGCAAATCATTTATATATACACTTTATAGAGCGTTAAAAACCTTGTGGTCAAAGGACCAAAATATTTGTATGTTCAGTAATTTGTAATTTGCATGAAAAGCATGAAATCATAAACTCTTTGGTATAATCGCTCGCAATTGTTTTCAATGCAAGACATCGGACTTGTTTTTGAATAAAACACAAAAATTTGCGGAGATCTCAAATATTTCACGAGTCTTTAATTCAAAAAAATTTGATTGTATCTGTTATTCGAATCCGCTCTAACTTAGTTTATCCTTATTTATGGTTTTTAAATTATTATCGATATATATAAAATTGTTAGGACCAAAAAATTATTGCATTATATACACGCTTTCGAGATTACAAGTATTAAGCCATATATCGAAGAAAACAAAAGGAGTTGTTATAATAGGTATAATATCTACACTTTTATGATCTGTGAACACAATCAATTCCATAACAAATGTACAAATTAGTGTTTTAACAACAACAAATTTAGAAAGTGAAAAATCGAATGAATCAAACTACTTTGTTTTGAACTCTGCTATAATATTTAAGAAAAAATAATAGGCAATTAAATTTTTTTTATGTTCCGAAACGTCGTATTATGTGAAATAGACATCAAAATTTGCTTTTAATTTCTGTTACATATATATTTTCGAGTGCGTTGTTTGCAGCAAACAAAAATTCGCTAAAAAATATTACTATTTTAATATTTGTATAAAAACTGCAAATAAAATTGCAGCGCCGTGTTTTGCAGTGGAATTTAAATATAAAAAATAACAACTAGAGTCTGCAATGCCTGACGAAAAATCCGAAAAAAAAGAATTTGATATTGAAGATGAACATTTAGAAAAAATTGAAAGATACAAGGAACCAGAAAAACGTTTCCCGGCTGGGGAGTCGGTAAGTTTATTTAAAATTTTGAAACATAATAAAGCAAGAAAAAACTATTCTACCTTCAATTAATTGACATAACGACAAGAAAGCAAGAATATATATAAAACTTAAATATTATAATAAATGTAGTAAAATTTGTAATCAAACGTTTCTGCTAATATTCACATTTATCGCTGACTGAAACTACCGTATTTTAATATTTCAAGTCGTTGAACGTACCATTCGTTCTGACGTAACAACCACACTTTGACATTTGTATCGCATGTACTAGATTTTCATCCTCCGCGGAAAATTTCTTTTTTGTTAAGCCGAATGTAAAGAAAGTGCGTATGATTTTTCACCAGTTGTATACATATATGGCGGACTAAGAAAATCGATTATATTTCCGATTTAAACGCAATAGTATATTGATGCGAATATAAACGCAAATTAAATAAATTCATAATCCGGGTGATCCTCGTGTTTTGGTTTCGGCTGTTTTACATTTCCTTATTATTTCCGTGCTTTGCAAAGGAATTTTAGCTGATTGGTTAGAAGCAGTCACTTGAAATTATATCAAGCCGTGCTTTTAAAATACAATAGACATATTTCCAAGCAAACATCCATTCTTCCATATATACCGTAGAGCGACGTAGGAGTACGTCGCGTAATAAATAGCAAAAGTGGATTCTGTAAAGATTGAAGATTTAATGGATTCTGATCCTGATATCGAAATCATCGAAAAGGATAGCGGAATGTCATCATTGGGCGGAAGCAAGGACGAAACACCAGAACGACGGGCAATTGAAAAAGTTGTAAGCATTTGACTCCTAAAGCACAACGAACCTAAAGGAATATAATTCAAGATTCATAAATGCTTTTAAAAGATCGAAGAAAAATTAAATACTTATGAACAACAAGATTTCTAGTATTTTTTTATCATACTAAAGAAGTCAATATGTTATATTTCAATTATTGAGCAAAGAAATAATTGTATGTATCTTTTTTGTTACAGACGGCGCCCAAAAATTCAGACGATGAAAACTATGACGACGTAAGTTTGTTAAATGTATATTTATTTAAGTTTCTCTCAAATAAATTACAGAAAAATCAATCATGTTTACAGCAACCATTTGCATAACCTCACTTTGATTAGGCAATCATACTGTATATACCTTCAGCTAAACCGTTTAATTTAATTAACTCTTATCAGTGATATTAAACATTTATTTGTCGCATACAAAACAATGAGACTTAACTCAAACTTTTGTAAAGATATGAAAAAAAAACACTAACGCTTTATATAAAGTTATCTTGTTACAATACTTTTTGAAATATATTTACATATAATACCGCAATATTGCTACTCCTATTTTGCAGGAGCCAGACGAAACTCTAGGCGAACGACTTTGGGGCCTTACAGAAATGTTCCCAGAACCGGTACGACGGTTAACTGGCAAAATGGTCGATCTTACAACCACCAGCATTAAGGGACTTTACTCATTTTCGTGCAATGCTTCCTGGATCTTCTTTACGAGTTCAGTTATTTTGTTTGCACCCGTCATATTTGAAACGGAACGCGCTCAAATGGAAGAGATGCAAAAGTCCCAACAAAAGCAGGTGCTACTAGGTCCCGGCACGGCGATGGACCGTGCTGGTCCACCACCATCATTACCACTTATTCGTTAAGTTCGTACAACTTCTACTGATAAATTTGTAAGAAAAGAAAGAAAATACCCCGCAAATCAAAACAATTAATCCTCTTCAAATTAATCAATAATAACAATAGGACAGAGGAAAATTCCTGTAACGCGTTCATCGTTTATTGATAAACAAAAATGCAATTTTCTTGTAGATGTAAAATAAAATTAATTACTATTGAAAATACTTAAAGTGTTTATATTAAAACGGAAACGTAAACTTTATATTATAGATAACTACAAACTACCATGTTATTAACGTACTAATATGAGGAGCATATATAAAAGGAGAGCGAATTTCGGCACAATTGAAATTAAACTGCTATCCAATTACATAAAAAATATCAAACATAACGACAATGTTAAAACTAAATTCCGCGCATTAATAAGTATATTGTATTTATAAAAAACATAGACTGAAATACATAAGTAAAACACTGCAAATTTAAGAATACACACACAACAACTGGACACTGGTGCTAAAATGACTAACGAAATTGGCATTGTTTTCCACGATCGTCTTATGCAAATACATTTAAATCCAGTGGATGGGTAGATTGTCGCATAACCGACGCCATTACACCTTCACTATCAGTTATACGGATATTCGCATTGCTTCGTCGATATTTGTGCCAATATTTTTTATCATTCAATGTTGAAATAACATAAATTTTTTGATCGCTTTTCGGCGGTGGTGTCTCGTCATGTACTTTACCCCCGGCGCATTCGATAATCTCTAAACAATTTCAATATAAAACGATCATTAATAAATATAACTACTTTTGTTACACTTACGTTTAATTTCTGATGGGCGTGGCAAAATGCTAGGGGTTGTTAGGAAATCATAGCCCTCAAACAGCTTTTGAGTTCTAGCCAATTCCAATGATTTAAATAAAGAGAATTTGTGTCGTTTTTCAAAGTCGTGGTCTCTGAAAAAATCTGTAATTCCACGCGGTACCGTTTTTGTACTATTGAACGATTGCAGCCACTTTGATGTCACAATCGGTATGCCTTTGGCCATTGCAATTAAAAACTTTAGTGTTCGATTGCCTTTATCCATAACTAGAACATCCGCATCAGTGGGATCATTTGCCACGCACCAATTGCCTGGAAATTAATTGTATTGATTCACAGTTTTAGTTGTTTAAACGAAAATACTAACCCGGTGAGTTTTGAACCAAACTTTGAAATAACGTTGGTTCAACCATAGTCATTGCAATCTGCAAGATACGTGCCTACAAGATAAAATTAAGAATTAATAACTTGCTAAAAACATCAGTAGATTATAATAATATTACATTGCTCCTCAATTTTTTGCTTTCCTCAACTGATGGTTCCCCCGCAACACGTTTGCGATTGTCATCTTTTGCAGAGGTTTTAGATTCCGGTTCGTCATTTTCAAGCACCTTACTAGTATTTGACACATTGGCTGAAGTTTTGTCATCTTTAGCGTCGGAATTATTTTTTACCCGTTTTTCGACTTCTCGAACATTCTTTTTTGATGCACTGCGCGATGAGGATGAGGATGTTGATTTTGTCGACGTAATACTTTCTTGAGAATCGGTTTTGGAGCGTGAGCGAGTAACGCGTTCTAAAAATAAATATTTATGTTTAAAAATAGCTTTATAGTATGTTATTTTAACTGACTTTTGCTGATTTCTGGCTCTTCTGTATGGTCAATTTTTGGCAGTTTCGCTGGTGTAGGTCCAGCTGTTGAATAGGTTGCTGTATCATTATCCCTATCACTAGTTCTGGACTTAAGTCTCGTTATTCTTCTCGTAGGTGCCTCTTCAATTTCATCTGCATTTTCACCTTTTGGTGATCCATTTTTGGTCGGCTTCTTATGTTTCTCGTTTTTTTCTACTCCTTTTTTGTGATCAACTTTTCGTGATACCGCTTCTATTTCATGTTTGTGTTCAGCTTTCTTTGAAATATTTTTCGTTGACTTCTTACGTTCTTCTCTTTTTTCATCTTCTTCAACTTGCCTATTATTTCTTCCACTACTCCGTCGATTGCCTAAAGATGGTTCAACCTTTCCATCAGTTTTAGAATTTTTCTTAGTTGACTTTTTAATTGACGGTGGTGAACTTTTTGGTTTCTTTAAATATAATTTTTCTTCCAAAATCGCCTCCTCGTTAGCACTTTGATCTTTTTTGTTGCTAATAATTTTTTTAACATCAGCCCGATCCTCCTGTTTAATCAAAGGACTTTTTGCCGGAACATATTTCGTAAGAGGCTGTTTTTCTTTCACATTACACAGTAGTTTGTCAAAATCGGTAGAGTCTTTTCTTTTATCCAATTTGTTTAACTCCAATGATTCCTCCTCAGAATCAGATCCAAATAGGTTACGTTTATGAATAGGCTTTTTAACATGTTCCTCAGAAAGTAAATCAAATTTTTCACAAATCCATTTAGGTGTACATAAGAGCGATCCTTCAGCTTCCGATTGTGAGCTGTTTATACTAGAAGTACTTCCTTTAGCTCCTTTATTTATTTTATTTAACTTTGGCTTTTTGAATAAAGCTTGTTCTCCTTCTTTTCTTGCAGAACCGTTATCTGTTTCGTTCGAATAGTTACCATCACTTTCTGCTTTTGACTTAATTTCACTTGGGGTTATTGTTAAATTGAGCTTTGGTCCCACCGCGGGCTTAATTGTCTTATCATTTGGTTCTGTTTTATTCCAGATTTTTGATTGGCTCACTGAATCATTCAAATTACTTGTAAATATTTGAGTGGGCGCCAACAAACTGTTATTCTCATGGATATTTTCAATTGTAGTCGTTGCACTCTTATCAAAAGATCTAGAAGCTACTAAATTCACTTCTGCAAAAGACAACTAATTTGTTAATAAAAAAATACAAAAGTGTCTTTATTTTACCTTTAATTGGTGCAAAAACCTGTGTTTGTTCCAGACTGAAATCTGTGTTAGCAATATTTTCTTTTCCGCTTAATGATAATTCTTCGCCAGAACGGGTGAGGCCAGTCACTTTATCAGCTGGTTGCTTTGATATAGGCACAAATACCTGTGTGGCCATCATATCGACTTCCTCCGCATATCCATCACCAGCAATTACTTCATTCACTTGGCTTTCCTTAAAAATATCTTTTTCAAGATTTTCTCCCGTCGATCCATTGGTATTAGCTTGCACATTAACTTGTGCGATTTCTGGTAAATCAAATAAATCTGGAGTACAAACATCGTCTCGCCCTGTGCATATCGTATTTTGAGCGGTGTCGTTCGATATTCCATTTTTTGGTGCTTGAGTGTTCAATGCCTCAATTTCAACATCACATTTATCACATTGTGATACATCTAAAAATTAAATTTCGTTTAAGTGAATATTTAAACATATCATATATTTTATTACCTTCATCTATATCCATATTCAATGTCACATCAGTCAATATAACTGGTTTGTGTTGAATATTTGGTATGACCAAAGATGAAAACATTGCCTCATCATCGTCACCATCTTCAAATAAGTTCTCATTGAAATCTTGAGTGCAGATTCGAATAAAATCGCTGGATTTTTGTAAATTTGAACCTAATTCCGAGGCTTCATAGGATTGTTCGGGTTTAGAAGGCATTTGAGTTTCTGGTATAAAAGATTCGTCACAAAAACTTTTTCCATCATATGATGGATTGCGTGAAGAACTTAATATACTTGAGTTTTCAATAGAAGCTCTTTGTTTTATGTTTTGAGTTTCAGGAATTTCAAAACTCTCATTTCTCGTATCATTCAACAGTGACACATCTGGGGAGCTAAATAACCGAGTACTCGTGTTAGACAATGAAGATCTTGGTGCTCTTTGTGTCGGTGCCAGAAATGGGTCTGCGAAATTTAAATTCTCTACTTCCTTTAATTAAAAATAGATTTTTATTTGTTTAGACCACCAAAAAATATGTTTATACTTTCCTCCAATCTTCCTCTTAATTCACCAAATCGCAATTCAGAATTAACATTTATACTTTCCTTCATCATCGGATTCAAACGTTTGTTATTCACAAAAGTTCCGGAAGCACTATATAAATCAAATATATATATCTTACTGCTGGAAACATCGACAATGCAGTGCTTTGTGTCCACACTCTGCAAAAATATGTTGCAATTTTTTATAAATTTTCTCTTAAAAAATCTTTACCTGTGATTTTAGCGGAATGTCCACACATTGTTTGATGTTTTCCCCATCTTTCCAGCATCCAATCAAATATAATTTTCCTGACACCAAATCGTATTGATTGGAATCGACGTCCAGCGTCCATTTCTAACTCAAAATAATATTAAAATATTAATTAATTGGGAACAAAAAAGCCAATTGTTACCTTTTCAGACATTTTAAATTAGCTGCGCTCTACAACTATAATACCTATTTTATATAATTTTCGGCTGGGATAATTTTTTATTTTAATGAAATATAGAAAATAAATTCCGCGCCATTTCAATCAAAAAATCTTATTTATAAAGATGAAAACGAAATAAATCGAAATAATCGATTGTTATTCTAATTTGAAGTAACTGCAGGTCGGCACACAATATTTTATTAGGTGATTATTAAAGAAGGAAATAAAGATATGTAATTTACAGTAATTAAGCTGTTGTGTATTTATATTAAATTATTTTCTTTAAATAATTTAATTAAAAACTCTTGTAAGTTTTGCAAATATTCGATTAATTGACTCAAAAACACAATAATGTCTCTACTTTCATTTATGTATTGATACGTTACTGAGTAATAATAATTTCCAATACTATGTTTCCGAAATAATCATTTCAGCAATATTTAATTTACCAATTTAACATGCCATTACTAATGATTAACGATTAACTCGTATTTGTATTATCGAAATGGGTTTTGTGAAGTTTGTAATTTACCAATCGCTACGTTGCACTTCTCTATATTAACTAGACGTTTTTGACTTTTCATTGCCAGTGAAAGAAAAAAATCTTATATTTGACGGAAGTTTATAGATTTATAATATTTTAGTTTTTGCATTTTTTACTGATTTTACAAGCGTACTCAATTGAAACATAGAAAATTTAAATTGTGAAAGTTACCACGTCGACATACGCGATTGAATTGTCAATTTGCAGCGATTTGTGACTTGAATTCAGAAGAAAAAGTAATATGTGCATTTTGAAGGTGCGTAACAAGTATATAACAAAAAAAAAAAAAGCAAAAAGCCGTAAAGTGAAAAAATTAATTCCAAAGGAGTGCAACGTAACAGACGTATAAATGTTTATTTCATCTGAAAAGTCATTGTAATTAAAAAAAGTAAAAAAGTGAAAAATTAGTTTCATAATGCGAACTCATAGGATTCAACAGTATTCATGCATATAACCGTGACAAACTGAGGTTATTGCCAGGAAAATAATATTCACCTATGTTTTCAACATATAATGAACCGTTTTTAATCATTCATACTACCACTCCCCTATGGATGAATTTATCTCATTATTGATCATGCGACAAACTCGGGACTTCAACAGCAATAACAACACAATTGATATTTTGGAAGTCTCTGACATAGCCCGACTTGCCCTACTTCCTTCCACATCCTCACCCTCGCACCAACTTTTGAGCTGGCATTGGCCTCACAGTCGCCCTATATATAATTACAAATAAAAATACCAGTTTATTTGGTTGGCTCTTATGTGATGGCCTACGCACTTTTCCTCTTTTTCATATTTATGAGAAAAACCCATTTTCAAAGTGTATGGTATATTCTCCCGTTTCCGTTGCTCTTGCTCTTGCTCTTAGTGGCAACAGCAAAAGTTTTAATTGTGACGAAAAAGATAATTTCCTCAAAGTGAAATAGCTGTGGACAGCAGATTTATGTTGCAGATTATTGTAGTTGAAGCAACATAACGGCAGCGCTGTCGACGACACATATAGGTGCCTATGTACGTTTATCATGATGACGCGATGTAAGCATTCGTGGCTATTATTTGTTGTTTTCTTTGCCATCGTCAAAACATCTAACAAATTTTCTTTGTTTCTGCTTGCAATGCTTACGTACACAAAAGCAAAATAGTCGCAGTCACCAATTCCGTCGACGGCGCTAGCATCAACCATCTGATTGCTGCTTTAAATTATTTGTTAGCTTTTATTATTGCAATGCGATGTTGAAGTACATATACAAAATACCATACATAATCGCATATAAATATTAATATATGTATATGCGGCTGCATATATATGTATAATATGTCTTGTATATAAATGCATGTTGATTTCTTGCAATTATATACTTACATTTAATCGTTTATGACATATTCACGATTTGAAACTGAAATATTTTTTTATTTCCCAAAGATATCCAATTGAAATTTTATTAATAGTTGCATTGGCATACGCATCTTCTGCTCAGTTTTTCTGTGGAGGCTATCGCTGCTGACGTTGACAGTGATTTTCATTTAGTATTTACTGTTCATTTTCTTTGTAGTTTAGTGTACATCATATAATTTGTTCCTTTTTATGACAATTATATTGTGTAAATAATTCAATGAAAATTAAGTTATGAAATTTGATGCTGTTAAATTGAAAACATTTGCATTTATGAAACATTAATAGAAATTAATATGGTAATTCTAAAAATAGTTCCGTAAGTCCAAAAATAAATGTTTAACGAGAGGTTGAAAAATAGAATATGTACATTCAGTGCACATATTTAGTAAAATTTAATATTTCGGTAAAAAATATGTTTATACTCATATTTATATAGGTGCATATTGTACATAAAATATCACATTCACTTGCTATACGCATGTAATTACGTACGTGAATTTATCTTCCGGAATCAACTGTTAATAAAAAGTAGTGCTTTACAGTGACACCACAGCATGTATCTCTTTATTTACATATATGTACATATATATAAAGCTTAACATACCAAAAGTAATGAGCGTAGTAATTTCTTAAAAAAAATTATCACAGATTTAGCTTTGTTTCGTGTACTTATTACATACATACATATATATGTATGTATATTTTCGTAAATATAACCATTATGCCTTTATTGATAATGATTTTGACTTTATATACATATGTCTTAGTTTGCTGACTTACTATATGCTTTATATCCTCATATCCTTAATAGAGTCCTTATATACATAAGTTCTGAAAACTTTTTATATGACGCGATACATCTTCACGAAATTTGGTACGGAATATTGCTCTCCGAAAAAATTGTTTAGATCAGATTAAATCGGAAATACAGTTTTTCTTGTTTTACGATCATATATAGCAATAAATACTAATAAACAGTTCTTTTTTAATTTCAGAATGCCGATTCAGGCGCCTTCATGGACAGATTTCCTCTTCTGTCCCATTTGTTGCAATGAGTTCGCTGTTAATCAACGTCTACCAATAAGTTTGGGATGTGGTCACACCATATGTCGCCAGTGTCTGTCCACCTTACACAATCGACAATGTCCTTTCGATCAAGTACATTATTATTAAACTGTTTTCTGTATACAATTAATTTACAAATAACATCTTTTACATCCATTAGACTTCCATAACAACCGATGTCGACAATCTGCCCATAAATAACGCTCTGCTTCAGTTGGTTAGCACTAACACAAATACCAACAATAACAACAATGCTGGAAATATTAGCGAAAACCGATATAGCAGTAGCGGTAATGAGGGGGCCTCAGGGAATGAAGGCGAAACGAACACTTCCACCAGACATACACCACCCAGTGTTCGTCAACTAAGTCCTGAAGATTTAAAATGCTATGATATGGCGAACAAATGTATAGAAAGTTTGGCACTATATCTAAAATCTCTTGTTACTAATAATGGAAATTTCGGAAGTCCTCTTTCGCGTCCGATGCAACGTAAACTTGTATCTTTAGTCAATACTCAGTTGATGGAACGTGAGGGACGCGAACGTGTTTTGCGAGCTGCTCGTTCATTGGGCGAGCGTACTGTTACCGAACTAATTCTGCAACATCAGAATCCCTTGCAGCTGAGTTCAAACCTATGGGCAGCGGTACGCTCTCGTGGTTGCCAATTTTTGGGTCCAGCCATGCAGGAGGAAGTTTTAAAATTGGTTTTGCAGGCTCTTGAAGACGGCACGGCATATTCCCGTAAGGTATTGGTAATGTATGTGGTACAACGGCTAGAACCACGTTTTCCACAAGCCTCGAAAACTAGTATTGGTCATGTTGTACAGCTTTTGTATCGAGCCAGTTGCTTTAAGGTATCGAAACGTGAAGCAGACTCGTCACTTATGCAATTGAAGGAAGAGTTTCGTACTTATGATGCCCTACGACGCGAACATGATGCTCAAATCGTACAAATAGCCACTGAAGCCGGTCTACGCATAGCGCCAGATCAATGGTCTTCCCTTCTTTACGGCGACACAGTGCATAAGTCACATATGCAAAGCATTATCGACAAACTACAAACGCCATCCTCATTTGCACAGTCTGTACAAGAATTGGTTATAGCTCTACAACGCACCGGAGATCCGGCTAATTTGTCAGGTCTAAGAATTCATCTGAAACATTTAGCCGGTATTGATCCATCGATAGAAAGTCCGCCGTCATCGTGGCAGGATGTAGCAAAAGCATTAGAATCGGTACATGAAGTAGTAGTTGGACTAGTGGATTTCGTACAACATCACGGCAATCGGAAGCTACAAGACTGCACAACAGGTCAAACAAGTACGAATACTAAGTATAAAATAAGTTTGTGTCGAGATTTGACAGTCAGACGTAACTGTCCACGTGGTTCCAGCTGTACTTTTGCGCATTCTGAGGAAGAATTGGAAAAATATCGTGCTAAGAATCGTAAAAACACAAAGCCAGGTAGCAACGTTCCCCACTCGGTTATAGGCCCGATAACGGCTGGCAGTGCAAATAGTGCAAACAATGGGAAAAACGATTATACATCTCATACTCATCCACATAACCATGGACACAATCATCACAATCCCCATGCTATGGTCCTGTTGCATCCCGCAAATGATAATTCCGCACCAGCCTCAACGGCTACGTCGCCATTAAGATTTGACAGTCTACAATCGATGCATAACAAATTACCTCGCGTCAGTTATGGTGATGGCTCGTCATCAATGCAAGCGCACGGGCCACCAGGCGCACACCATCACATGCGTTCGTTGCATCATAGTCCAATTCCCCCTAATACCGGGCAGACAGTGCCTACACCCCCCACTGCACATCTTTATGACGCATCTTCTTTTGGCTCAACACTAAATTATCCCGTATCAACAACAGGAGTACCACCACGTATTCCTCAAGGTTTGTCAAACATCAATAACTCACCAATAACGATGCGAAATTCTAGCGGCGGTATACCTTCATCAAGATCTTTTCCAAATACATTGCAACCGCCGACAACACATACTCATCCTCCCTTACCTCCGAATATGCCTACCAATAACCCACCGAAATATCACAACAATAACA